TATTAGTACATGCTCCCCCGGTGTATGATGTGGTATTTGTGTTATAATGTGTATTGAATCGTCGTGTCCCAGCTTTGGATACCTGGACGCATATGCTTGAAACAAAGTCGTCGAATGATGGGGACTAGACAACAGATTCGCGGTTTAAAAGGCGTCCTATGTGCATTAGGCAGGGAAAGCATAGGTGATGGCGGGAACAATCGTTTTAGTTAGCCCTCTAGATCAGTTGGATCGTCGATGTGCTTATTATCATGAGACGAATGAATACTCTCCACGGACTGTGAACTCCGAGCTATCTCCTCCTGTAGAAATACATGCATGATTTGGTTGAATGACGCAGAACTGCCGGTGCATCCAATATGCCGTGATCCCAAGACTATCACAACGTCCAGCGGCTGAAAAAGTCCATGATAATGGGAGTCGCATCCAGAAAAGTCCCATCAGGATTATCACTGTTCGGATTTACGCTAGGCCAATCATGACCCAGTCCCTCAATGCGATAATGAGTAACAGTGCCCAAGGCCTCTCCCCGGCCGTACTGATATTCCAGGACATTACCGTCGTAAACGCTTGTAGTTTGGTTGTGCAGCCCGAGTCCGTCCCTCTTTGCCCACTCCCGGACGAAATGCGGTACAGAGGGTAAACACTCTCCGCGTCTACCACCTCCATTGTAAGGGATTGTTGTGTCGGCCGTGCCGTGGAACTCGATGATTGGGATTGGACACCGTCCGGTATTACATTTGATCGGCACCGTTTCGGCATTGCAGGCGTCCTCGGGTACGTCCTGGTAGTATGCGCCTGAAACGGGGGCAAATGCCGCAATACGTTCGGAGGCCGTAGGATCGCAAGCTAGGAGATTTGTGAAGCCCCCGCCGTTTGATTTACCGGTGGCATATACGCGCGAAGAATCAATGCAGTATCTTTCCTCGAAGTGGTCAAGCATTTCCATGGTGAATGCGACGTCGTCGACTCCAGAAGAAGCTGGGTCTCCTTGCCATTGGTTCTGTGTTTAATTGATTAATGACCACTTAGGGCGAGCTCGAGACACGTACATCAAGACCCTGGGGATAAACCGCAATAGCATCGGGATTCCACGCTTCATTGCTGAATTGCGAAAGCTGCTCTTGACTTTCGGCGGTTTTCGACCTCCCATGAAAGGAGAAGATAAGTGGGATTGCTCTATTCTCGTCATAGTTGGACGGAATGTGGATGATATAAGAGCGAAGAGTGCCATCTGATGCGGTGAAGTCCGTCGGATAGCTTCCTCCGGTACCCTGATGCTCGGGCAATGGCTTTCCACAGCCCGCTGAGGCAGTGGCCGTAGCCTGGCTGGCGATTGATAGCAAGATACCGAAATGTGCCTTCATTGCCAAAAGTTTGTGGTGGGATTTGTTGACATTTCAAAGGAGAAGGGCGGGAATTATGTACCTTGCCTCAACAATTCGTTGTAGCCCATTTGCCGAATCTGGACAATTGGTATGTACAGGACAGCTGGACGCGGGGAAGACATAGTTACGCCTGGCTGTCAACTCGAGTTCTCGACCTTTTCGCTGAGTTTCGGCCAATGATTGCAGGGAATTGGTGTCTTCAGCTGAAGATCAGCGTTAGTCTAACCCTGAAGGCTTGGGGTGCATACCGTAAGGAGAGAGGTACATGATACTTACAGCCTTGCATGCCTTCTGCGCGCTTCGTTAACAAGGCAGCGCAAGTTGAGTGACGCCGTCATCATGAGAGAGGCTGTAAATACTTTTGGTTGTATATAGGTGCAGCAATATACATAATGAGGGTATTGGCAGAAGTGTAAAAATAGCAATGGTCTGCCGTTTCATAAACAGAACAAACTTTGAGTTCGACGAAGCAGGCAGAAGCATAATATTTAGCTAAGCACGTAAGTTCAGTAGACTAGCAGAAGGTCGTTGGCCTAAATAGCAGATCAATGAGTAGCTTTGCTAAAAAAGACAATCATCGCTAGGTAGGAGACAATTTTTCTGATTGATAAAACCTTACAATGTCTTCGTCAAGAGCAGTTGGCGCAAACCTGAGGCAAGCACTGCTCTGATTCTTGCACGTCAGTCTATGCTACTATCTATTACAAGGGATACAAACGCAAGCAAAGTCCCTATCAGCAAGCAAACTTCACAGAAGACAGTTTCAACTCAACTATCTGATCCATTGCTTGTGCTTCACCTAACTGTATTTGACCACTTCTTAGTGGGAGAGCCAAATAGCGCCACTAGCAGCCCTACAGGCTCTACACCAACCCCCAAAACGATTCCCAAAACGACCAAGACGGTTAACTGACATGGCCACAAGGCATGTGAGGCCGAGGCGATCAATTCCTGAATAGGCTCATAGGAGGAGAAGAATGACAACTCAAACGGGAAGACTTGCAAAATGTGGAGCTGATTGATTTTAGGATAGCACGTGGACCAGATAGTGAAGTAATTGTTCCATCTTGATAACTGAAGAAGTGTGGAAGGGAACCGGTTGACTCTGTCCTGTATGGTCACAAAACAGGATGGAAAAATACCTTACAGTGGTCCCGTAATACAGTTCAGATTGCGTGCGTGATAGTGCAGCTTTGGAGACGGAAGGCAAGCGGGAATTGGCATATACAGAACTACCGAAGCGATGTTGAACCACGAATGCCTGCGAAGTTTAATTTGTTTCAGTACCGAGTAAGTTCTGAGTCAGATTTGGAGTCGTTGGTGACTATTCAGGTAGCAATATCCGTGGTCTCCAACTGCTGTTGACCACGAGGCGAGGCGAGGCCCCACTGATCCGCAGGATCGCAGCTTCGCAGCAATAAGGTCTGGGAACCAAAGACGGAACACTCGGGGCAATGGAATACTGACTCTCTCTCTCAGTATGGGAGACCTCGAGGGAAAACCCCGCGCGTAAATCCCGCTCACTTATTCAGGAAAAACCCCCGACTGAACCAGCCTCCCCATGTCTCATCATATTTGGGGACCGTTTGCAGGACACAGCAATTGTGGAAGCTCGGTCGGAGATATGGCTCCATTCTATGCCATGTGAAACATTCCAATGTTCCAAGGTACAACGGGATGTGAATTTGAACGCGTCGGAAGTTCGGAATTCTTGTTGAGAGGACAGAAGCGTCCCAAACAGGGTTGTCTGTTCAATGAGCGGTAAATGGGGACCCACAACCAACGAGGAACTATATATGTCTGTCTTAAACCTTAAGTCAGCATAGTCTCCGCACTTTCGATCATCGTCATCGTCTTATCGGGGTATGGCCGAGAGGCGGAGAGGGGAGACTATTCAGTAGAGACAAGGGAGTCAAATCTACTCGGGCTGACTCGGATTATCGATAAGCGGCAGGCTGAAATGGGTACTGGCCACTGCGACTGGACAATAGACGCCATGTAGAGCAGCTGATTCCGATGGATTCTATCTAAGCCAGTCCTGCCATGGAGTAGACTAAGGTTTAACGGTTTCAACAGGGATCGGAAATGACAACAAATGCAGTATAGCGACCGAGGAAGAGAAGTTGGAACCTTGGAAATCATGGTGATCAATGATTGAACATGGGAGTCTGAGGGGTTTTAAGATCTTCGGCTCTGACAGCCGACAGACATTAGGGCCAGCAGTGCTCCAAATCCGAGTGATTGCAGCCTACTGATCTGCTTGTGATCAGCCTCGGGAGTAGACATCAACTCAAAGAGTTAGAAACAAGGTAGGGACTGGTCACTTGCAGTCCAGATAGTGTCTCGTCATACATCCGTTTGTCTAGAACAGCAATGGGGCGAGCAAAATCAGCCAAACATATTCATTCCATTATCTCTACTGTGGATGCTCCCTTAGTCAGGGGCCTGGCCAGATCGCTGCCTTAGGTACGGAGTAGACAGCCTCAATTACCCTTTCCATACAAGGTCAGCATTGCGACACGCGCACCCTTGTCGCAGCCCCAATTCGTCATAACTATTACCGACCTTCATATGTGGTGCTCGCCATTATTCTACCCAGGATCACCTTTTCCGAATTCTCTGCATATACCATTTTCGGCCACAGTCTCGACAGTCCAGCGGCAAACTTGTCATTCCAGCCAGCGTGCCGTCAGCCATTGCTTGGAGGGATGCGGACCATCCGCTACAATGGGCTTGTCAACCTGTAGGATTTCACTAGGTCACTTCAACTACCGAGCCGAGCAGATGCCGACAGGTGATTACGAGGCTGTTGAGTTTTCTCTGGCCCTGAAACCGTCGTTGCTTCCTGCAAACTCCCCACAGGTGCATTTCAATCCGTTATTAATATCATTCCTGGGACTGCCGTACAGGTGACCAGGACTGAAGATGCCTTTTGCTGGTGCTGGTGCTGGTGATGGTGATGGTGATGGCGCGGCGATATCTCACAAGGATTGCTTTTTCTGTATGCATCACTCCAGTCATCAATTAGAATCGCGCTACCATCTGCGTGAATGGCGCGATGCCGCAGTAAAGACAGGCGAAGGAGGATATATCAAGCTATATTGAACGAGGTCTATCATGTATCCCGTCCATGTTCACACACGAGGACAGTATCTGATAGTGGATTCCAGCCATTATGATAGCAGCTCAATACATCACACTTCATGGTAGTAGGTATTATCCATGTCCGTCGAGTTTCGTGGAGGAGCTAAGCAGCAAATAGAGGGGCTATGTTGCGATTAGATCAAGCTCTCCAGTGTCGTCCGAGATTACTCCGTTGCGGAGAGTGATTCAGGGCAAGCGGTTGTCTTGTCATTGAAACAACAGAGCAACGCTCAGCCCCTACTTACCTATTAGAAATGCGCTACGAGCACTCAAGGAGGATACGACACACTACTGACCAATCAGCAATAAGTCTCAAGCAGCTTCGGAGGACCATAGTCATACAAACTGGTATTCAAACAACAAGCATGAGTGAATATCCGCGGGTGTCCATCCATATAATTAATTCCAAACTGACAAGTGGATTGCAAGAAAGTACCTTGAGAGAAAGTACCAGCCCACTTAGTCAGGCTACTTACCTCGTAGTTAGTCCAGCAGTGATGAAACCCCAGTGAGTAGTGAGCATTAATGTAAAGGGAATAGCGCCTATTTCGGATCTTCTACTTGCCTATTATGCACCGGAGTCAATCTCTATTTCTAGATCCGATGGACCCTTCATATCGGAGCCTTAGACCAAGCGGACATTGCCAAGGGTTTTCCATTCTGGGCATTTCGCTGATTTAGTAGAGTCAACCAAATACTGATATGGTGCATGGAAGTCAAGACAAAGGGTATCTTTGGCTCTATTGACCTGCAGGACTTCTAGGTAGATACCAACCGCTTAGAATAATGAAAAAGTGTTTATTGATTTCAGCTGATGGTACGGAATATCTATTTGCATTTCGCAGAGACTAGACAGTTTAGTCTGCACGCTATTTCGCTTTGGCGTGTGGTAAGCGTGATTTGCGATTGCAGATCCTGCTTGGCCGAGACATCAGTTCCATATTAGACGAGTCATAAAACTACGGAGTAGGAGGCATTTCCCCGAGGCACTTCACCACATTCGTTGAGACATCGTCATCAAGAATTATATCACATCCGCGCCAACAACCAGAAAAAGATGGCTGCCCAATGGAATGACAAGGTTTCAACGGTCACAACTGTTTGATGAGACCCTTCCCGCCATCAGATGGACGTGCTGAAGGCCAATCTCACCCCACATGTCGGGCAAAGGACATGAGGGAGAGAAGAGGAAAGCGATGTGAGAACAAGAGCAATTGCTGTCTTGACTGCCCAAAGTAATAATCTACGCAATCAAGGCTCATAGCATCTCATGCATGATGAACAGACAGTAAGCAGTGGTGATGCAAAGATCATGAAAGATGGACGAGGAAACAGAAAACAGAAACGGAGGAAATGGCCCCAGGAGGAAAAAGGAAAGCGTGGGGTTGATCTGAAGTAGATCATCGTCTGTCATTCATCTCACTCTTGTACTCGAGAGAACTTGCCATAAATTGCCTCGTACTACATAGCGGTGAACCGGCAAGAGTCGATGATGCAGAGACAAAGAAAATCTGCCAGGAACGGATTCATGTGCATATACTAGTAGTATGGAAGAAGAAAAGGAGTACTTATGTACACTACGAAAAGGGACACTGTGAGGTGATTATATGTCTCACAAGATTTTCAAGTATCTATGTTTTACGTACAGACATTGATCATTGGCAAAACCAATGAAGTGATGCCTGTAAAGAACTCATCAGTCTTTTGTGTAAGAAGTCAGAGCGTTATGGAGAGCATACCAAAGTGTGGTCCAAGCAACTCTCCTTATCACGCAAGAAATAATAATAGCAAAGCCATGCAAGATGGTCTGTACCTTTTCCTTGCTTAAACCTAAA